GGACTTGCTGTTTCAACAAGAATTCAAAAATATCATTTTCACCATAAATGATTGTGGTTTTTAACAAGAAGAAATATCACTTTTTACCAAAAATGACAAAAATATTCACCAAAATTAGAGAATTAAAGATATCATTACAAAATGAATAAATCTGAGAGAGGTCCACATGTAGTACCTATATATGTAATATCAAAGCAATTGGACTTGCGGTTTTTAACAAGAAGTCGAAAATATCACTTTTTACCAAAAATGACAAAAATATTCACCAAAATTAGAGAATTGACGATATCATTACAAAATGAACAAATTTGAGAGTGGTCCACATGTAGTACCTATATATGTAATATCAAAGCAATTGGACTTGCGGTTTTTAACAAGAAGTCGAAAATATCACTTTTTACCAAAAATTACAAAAATATTCACCAAAATTAGAGAATTGAAGATATGATCATGAAATGAACAAATCTGAGAGAGGTCTACCCAAGGTACATATACACCAAGTATCAAAGCATTCCGGCTTGTAGTTTTCAAGAAGTCGAAAAAGTAAAACATTGACACGGACGACGGACAATCACTCATATGATAAGCTCCGCTCGACAAAGTCGACAGCGGAGCTAAAAATACAGCAACAGAAATGACAAACTTCACATGTATTAGATTGTATTAGCCAGTGTGTGTCACTAATATTACTGACGTTGTAGAAGTCTTCAGTCACAATATTTAAAAAGAAATAGAGATTGTATGTGGCAGAAACTGGCACCTCATTTAATTTGTTTTGACACACGTTTTATTAAACTATAGTAAAATGTTGCTATATCAATGTATGCTTTTCTGTAGTGTCAGTGACATGCCAAGATAGTTGATCACAATAAATCTGTGCTATCAGCTTAGAGGACACACTGACACTAACCAACATTGCTTTTGTATACTTTTTTTTGTATACCAACTACGACATTTGTTCAACAATCTGTTAATGAGAAGTCACAAGACCCGGGAGAATATCAGCGAAGTACTTGTTGTACATACAGGTTTACAACTCTAAAGAATGCTTGTTCCTGTGCATCAATGAATGCTCCATGGAGTGATGTTTTACTGGCAGATGATGACAGTGATGACATAGTCCCTGATGGACTGGCACTTGGTGATCCTGGACCACCTCGACGGAAATAACGCTGAAGACTGATCAGAAACGTACTCTGTGAGAAAAAGAATAAGAACACATTTAATAATGACTTAAGACACGACATGTACAGTTGATATTTTGAGAAAAAGGAAAAAAAATGATCTGTGATTCAGACATTAAGCATGCTACTATCAAAACTTATACATCATCTGAAAGCTTAGATATATGTGCATATGTTTGTTTAAGGAATAACTGATGGTCAAATTCACTATTTTGCTTTTTTTTTCTATTTTAATTTAGAAAACAATGTTTTTTAACACTTTCATTCACACAAATGAACTGTGAATTGCATTGCTTATATTAATAAGGTTTGACTCACAAGTTCAGTTCCAAGCTCTCTCTTTAACAGCTGTTTATCTCTTGGTACTATACTTGGTTCTTTCAGATATCTCATTCCTTGTGACATGGTCACAAATAAACAGTTCTCCAGCACATACAATACTTTAGCCCTGAACACATACAATGAGATAACACAGTTAATTAAGTTGATTCATTATAAGGTTTATTTTATAATGTTGTATAATTGCATAGAGTATTTAGCCCTGAACACATACAATGAGATAACACAGTTAATTAAGTTGATTCATTATAAGGTTTATTTTATAATGTTGTATAATTGCATAGAGTATTTTTTTTAGCTCTAATGTCGACTTTGTCAAGCAGAGCTTATCATATGAGTGATTGTCCTGTGCTTACAACTTTTTACTTGACTTTTTTGAAAACAACAAGCCTGATTGGGTAGACCTCACTTAGACTTGTTCATTTAGGATGATACACATGTATCTTCAATTATATAATTTTGATGAATATTTTTGTAATTTTTGGTAAAAAGTGATATTTTTGACTTCTTGTTGAAAATCGCAAGTGTGATTGGTTTGCTATTATACTTATAGAATTACATGATGGGTGTACATCTGAACTACAAAAACTATTGGCAAAGTGTGCCAAGAAACCATGTCATTTCCTTTCAGTTATCTCCACTAACTCCCTCTCAAACATGTAATATGGCAACAAGGTATATTTTCAACCAGCAAAAATACCAATTCAAACAAACATTTAACATTTACAATTACAAAACATGTAATTATTGTCTAAGTATTTAGCAATGTATTAAAGTCACATACTGTAAACCGTAGTTTGCAAATGAATTAACACTACCCGGTAATATTGATTCTGTAATTTGTATTTATTACCATTCTGAACAATTGTAAATATTTCTCTAGAATGTTCAGATGCTGCATTTAACAAATTTTCATTCCTCATTTTATAATACCAAAAAAGTTCACTGAACAGATGCTTCTCACAAACCCACACCCTATAGAGCAGAGATGGAAATTTAAGAAATGGAACAACAACCAACAATTTTTACTGGAATTCAAACAGAAAACAAATTCAAACTGTTTAGAATTTGCAAATATTTGATATAAATTTTTACAAAAAATAATAATCATGTTTATAAACCACCATAAGTAAATGAAGTCTACAATGAATATGCCATCAAAATTTTAAAATAAATATCTAGGATTTATAAACAATGGCTAATTGTTATGCGAATATTACCACTTAGATGATCATGCCCATTATTTAAATTTAAACACATAGATGTCAGAGATATAATTTTGACCATCTTGAATTGGATCTGAAGCAATTGCATGTGCATATATTTAACAAGATACAAGTGTGAAGTTGACAATGGCCACCAGTTGGCAAATTAGAATCCAACAAAATGA